AAAAGTCGAATCGGCTGAAATTGGCAGGCTAGTAGGCCTCCAATAAGAAATCGGAGCCCAAGTCGGAATCTCAAGTCGAATCGAATCGGAATCGGAAGCCATCGAAATCGAATCGAATCGAATCGGAGGAATCGAAACGAGCCCTGTCCCAAGAGTCATCAACGATGTTGAAATAAACCCTCCCTCCAAATTCCTTATTCATAGGCCCCTTATAACGGTTCATTTCCATTGAAGGAACTGCCCCGTTGGAAGGCAGCCTTTTTAAGACCCTGAAGCATGCGTGAACATTATTCTCGGGATTCCAACGCCACTGATCGACCTGACTGTTGCGTCTCGACGGGCTTAAGTAATGCCAGAATGCCATTCCGAGGGCGTGAATTTCCGGAACGTTGATCGTGCGAATCCGTGCAACTCTTGCATAATGTATAAACGAATGTGCGCGGCGCTACGGCGAGAGACGCAGTTTGAAAACGAACCGCCCTCAATTCGTGAAGATCTTGCAAATTGTTAAAACGAATGTGCGCGGCGCTAGGGCGAGAACCACATTTCGAACAGGAGCAGCCCTCAATCCGTGAAGCTCTTGTGGTTTTTCAACTAGTGAGCGCGGCGCTAAAAAGGAAACCGCATTTTGAGAAGGAACCGCCCTCAAATCGTTAAGCTCTTGCAAATTTAAAAACACATGTGCACGGCGCCAAAACGAAAACCACATTTTGAAAACCACTCGCCCTCAATCCGTGAAGCTCTTGCACTTTCTCCAAAACGAATGTACGCGGCGCTAAAGCGAGAACCACATCTTGAAAACGACCCGCCTTCCATCTGTGAAACGGTTGCCATCTTTAAGCTTCAGAGCCATGAGTGGTGAAGAAGTCTCAGGCGAAACGGCCGGCCGCGCTAAAAACTGGCACCGGGGTGCGACTGGGAGAAATTATTCATAAGGAAAAGGAATGGAGGAGGAGGAAGAGGAGGAAGAGGAAAAGGAGGAGGAGGAGGAGGAGGAGGAGGACGAGGAGGAAAGGGGGGGAGGGGGAGGAGGAGGAGGAGGAGGAGGAGGAGGAGGAAGAGGAGTCTGGCCCCTTCTTGCCCTTCGGGTTGCTGGCCTGCCTGTGCCGGCGCCCCTTAGCGGCGTGGCCCTTGCGGTGGCAGATCGCGCGCTCCCCTGTCATCGCCCTTGGGGTCCTTCTCGTGACCGTTCTTGCCGAAGGGTCCCAACTCCATCGGCGATGGCCCGCCCGCCGAAACCTGGGCCGCCAGCTGCGCCCTTCTCGCGTTCAGCATCACCTCGGGGGCCCCAGCCCAGGTCTGGGGTCTCTCCGCGTTCGCGATGGGGTGCTGCCCGGGCGGGGTATCGGGCCACTGGCGCAGGCCGACTCCGATCCTGATCGAGTCAACATCCTCTTCTTGGAGCTTCCCTCGCGCGGCGAGCACTCTCGCAGGCTGACCGCGCGAGGGTGTCGCCCATGCACTCCCAGCTCAGAAGTCCCGTGGGCCGGCCTGCGAACAACGTCCTCGCCTGCGTCTCGTACCTGGCGTTCGAGTGCTTGTCCGCGGCGCGTCTGGATCAGCCAAATAGTGTAATTCACGGGATCTCGCGATTGCGTCGCTGCTCTCGAACATTGCGTTCAGCTGCAAGACGTTGATCGATGCCGCGGCGATCTCCATCTCCTCTGCCATCTGGCACTGCGCGGCTCCCGCGCGCCCTCTGAACGCCAGCGACCGTTCGCGCCACTATTCTCCGTTGAGCTGCTCGGGCTTGCCCAACGCGCGCACCTCCGCGACGCGGGGGCCCTCGCCAAGATCAGCCCGTTCTTTTCCGCTATGCGCTTCTGCTTGTAGCCTGTGGGCCGTGGCTCGCGCCTCGCCCGCCTGGACCTTCGTGCGCTGGAGCTCTGCAACCACTTCTGCCATCTGTGGCTGCAACTGACTGATTTCCGCTTCCATCGCCATCGTGTCCAGCGGAACTGCTTGCGTCCACACTCAGGTGGATCTGCTTGAACGTCAGCTCTCTGTTTGGTCTCTTGTAAGCGCTGTCCGAAGACTGCCCGTTGCCTGCGTTCAAACATGACCTGGAGATATTGGCGGTAGAACTCGCGTCGCAAGTCGGCAATCTTGTCGTTGTGGTCGTCCTCGGTCTCGCTATCCACTTGTAACCGCTCTCCTGTGGCCTTCGGCGACTTGCCCGAATGTGTGTTCTTCGATGCGATCCCTCGACGGACGCCAGAGCTCACCCACGCGTTGCGCTACCGTAAAGAACGGTTTGCACGCCGCGGACCAAACAACATCTTGAGCCTAAACGTCAGTAGTGCAGCACATTCAAAGACCTCGTCATTTCTGCTCCTGGAGCTTCAGATTTGTAATCGTTTCACGGATGGAGGGCGGGCTATTTTCAAGCAGTGGCTCTCGCCTTAGCGCCACGCGCATTCGGCTCAAACGTCTGCAGCAATTTCACGGGTGGAGGGCGGGCCGCCTTCAACAAGTGGTCCTCGCCTGAGCACCGCACACATTCGACTCTAAAGCTTGCAACACTTTCGCAGATTGGGGCGGGCCGTTTCAACATGTGGGAAAAAGGTGGCTCTGGATTTAGCGCCGCGCACATTCGTCTTTATATGTGACACAATTTCGCAGATAGAGGGCGGGCCGTTTCCAAAATGGAGCTCTCGCATTGGCGCCGCGCGCATGTATCTTAAACGTTTGCAGCAATTTCATGGATTCGTATGGTTGAAGTTCCAGGAATGTCCTGGCGCGATTGATGGCTGCCTGGACGCAACAGTCACGTTGAGTTGCTGTGGTGACGTCGCAGGAATGGTGCTTTGGCACGGTTCTAGGATTGTCAGAACGCGACAGGCAATGCATTCGCGGCGCTGAAGCCTCAAGAATGTTTTTTTTTTTGCACGGGTGAAAATTGTCAAGCGGTCGTCTTCCATGGGGGCACTTCCCATAATGCAAATGAGTTTTTGTTGGCCCTATGAAGAGGGAACATCGGGGGAGACAACATCGTTGATGCGTCTTGGGATCGCACTAGTCCTCCTCCTCTTCCTCTTTTTCCACTTCCTCCTCCTGCTCGTCCTCGTTCTCGAAAATTGCATTGCCGCTGCAGCTGGTTGCAGGATGGGGGCACGCCGCGACTGGCTCCCTGCCGAAGACATCAGTTCAGTTCAGTTCAGTTCAGTTCAGCCTGCACGCCGGCTCCCGTAGGAGCGGTCCTCTGAAGGGCAGGCGGCACTCAAAGCGTGAAACTACATGCTCCGCGCCGGCTCACAACAACTCTGCAATCACACTACTCTGCATGAACTGCAACAGTATCCCTCCAGCGAAGATGAGGCCGGCCAGGACGCCGTTTGGGTAGGCATCTGAACAACTCGCCCAAACACATCTCGCGGGAAGGCAATATTTCATTCCGCACCCCGGTCTGTGCGGCCAAGTCCCAACGCGTGCCGCGGCAGTGGGCCCCAGACGCCAGATGAGGGACGGGGACTGGGGATCGATGCGCCACAAGGATGGTTGCCACAAGGGTTCGGGCGGGGGGCAGGAAGGGGATCCCATAGTCCATGCGCGCAGGCGTGCAGGGACAGGAGGAAGGCAGGGAAACGATGCAGGCCGGCAAAGAGGAAGAGGAGGCAGGGAGGAAGAGCGGAGGGAGGCAGGGACGGATACAGTAGAGACGCGCGTGAGAGCTTTAGTAACACGAAATCTTGGTGCACACTCCCCGTCGGTCTTTGGGGGTCCTACGGTTCAGGGTTCCCCAGAGGCTCTGGGCCAGAGCTCCTGTGGGTCCCTGGGGCCATCGGGCGATACATAAATTCAGCGGGGGACCTGCTGACAGGCCGATTTCTTGTTTGATGTGCCCACTACTGTGGGGGGCAGGCGGGCAACTATGGTGGGGTGGACTCAATCGGAGAGGGAGGCAGGCAGCCGGTGTCCGCGTCGGGAGGCAACTGCGAGAGCTCGAAGGTGATCGTCTTCGAATTCAGCCATGAATACGAGTTGTCGAACTCGAGCACCAAGCGGCCCGGCGCTGGCGCCGTAAAGGTTCCTCCGGTGGCCTCCTCGGGCAGCAACGTGCTGGCCGAGAAGCCGGGGCATCACTTGCTACGGTCTGTACGGCAGCTTCGTGTCGTGGCGACCTGGGTGTCGGTTTCTGACACCGCGCGGATCGTTCAACCTTGAACGATAGGCGGCTTTTCGATCGCCAGATCGTCCTACAATGGCCGATCCTGGGCCACTGCCGGCGCTCAAGCTTGAACATCCGCGGCGGGGTCGCCGCCGCGTCGACACGGCACTAACCTACCGCAATTACGCGTTGCATGATCTCTGAATAGCTGTTCTGAGTATCGCATTGCCTAGGTGTGGTTTCAATCTGCAACTTTGCTTTCCCTTCACAACCTCCCGTGCGTCTCCGCGACCTCTGCAGCTTGTCCAGTGGGCTGCAGATCTCCCACGGCCTCCCCAAGCGAAGCAAAGCTTTCCAACAACTTGAAGGGAGCTGTCGAAGCTGCGTGGCTGTTCACAAGAGGCGCCTCCACGAGGGCAGCGATCCCCAGACACCCCGAAGAGCCCGAGGCCCTTGGGCCTTCTGGCAGCCCTCGCGCGCTTCCGGAGGGGACCACCGCCTTGGAGCACAGGGGGGACGAACACCCTGGCAGAACTGACAACACGTCCTTCAAACATTTCTATAGCAACATTAACAATGGAAGAAACTGGGTGAGTGCACTGCACCAGAAACACAAGTGTCAAGTAGAGATGAGGAATAATTTCACATGTTGCATAATGTTATTAGACATGTTCAGTATGCTGACCATGTATTCGTAGTGCATATACCAATACTGTGACTCGCGGGCCCGCCCGCTTGAAACCCAGGCGCTCGCTCTCCGCTCGAACTCCGAGCGGGTGCCAGACCCTCGCCGAAAAGCGCACAAGGCCGTAGCCGTATTGGACGACACAGGGAGGCTGGAGCAAGTGGATCTTGGAGGACAAGGTGCGCAACGAAAATACCATCGAGGCCAGTCCACAAGAAACTTCCCACAAGAAACCCAACCCTGAGACCCCAGGACAACCAGTGTCCAGTGATTTCTGGTGTGGGCGTCGCGAGGCAAGCATGGTGTTTCTTGGCATGGGCCCCCACTGTATATACACAGACAGAGGGTGCGCCGCTGGATCTCTCCAAAGGGGGGGTGGGTGGGACCCCCCCCCCCCTTCCCCGATCCGTCGTCGGGGAGCCCCCCCCTCCCTCCCCCCGATCCTCGTCGGGGACCCCCCCCCCCCCCCCCGTCCCCCCTTTCCCCGATCCGTCGTCGGGGACCCCCCCCCCCTCCCCCCTTTCAAAGAGGTGGGGGGGGTCCGACCCCACCCCCCCCTCCCCCCTTTGGGCCGCACCCCCTCCTCCCCCCTTTCGCCACGTCCGCCCCCTGACTCCGGAACCCGACCCCAGCCATCCCGACCCCTAGTCCTCACCCTAACCCAAACCCCTAATCCTAACCCCAACCACTAACCCCAGCCCCAAAGAGCACTCACACTTATTACTCACTACCCACTACTGACTACTCGCTATTCGCTACTCACTTCTCACTACTCCCTATTCACTACTCACGACTCACTACTCACTACCCACCACCCACTACTCGCTACTCACTACTCCCTACTCACCACTCCCTCCTCCCCTCTTCCTACTCACTACTCACTCCTCACTACCCACTACTCAATACTCGCTACCCACTAAGCACTACTCACTACTCCCTACTCACTACTCACTAATCACTACTCACTACCCACTACCCACTATCCACTACTCACTACTCATTACTCACTACTCATTGCCCACAAGTCACTACTCACTACCCACTACTCGCTACTCGCTACTCCCTACTCCCTACACAATACTGACTACACAGTACTCAGTACTCACCACTCGCTACTCCCATACTCGCTACCCAATACTCACTACTCCCTACTCACTACATAGTCTCTAGTCACTAGGCACAACTCACTAGTCACTAGTCACTAGTCACTAGTCACTACCCACTACTCACTACTCACTAATCGCTACTCGCTACCCACTACTCGCTACCCACTTCTTACTACTCACTGCTCACTACTCCCTACTCCCTACTCACTATTCGCTACTCCCTACTCGTTACTCACTAGTCACTACCCGCTACTGACTACTGACTACTCTCGACGCACCACGCACTACTCACTACGCCCTTCTCGCTCCTCACTACTCACTACTCGCTACTCCCTACTCGCTACTCACTACTCACTACCCGCTGCCACTACCCACTACTCTCTATTCATCACTACTCACTACTCACTACTCACTACGCACTACGTACTACTCAGTACTCACTAGTCACTAGTCACTACTCACAACTCACTACTCGCTACTCACTACTCACTACTCACTTCTCGCTACTCACTACTCACTAGTGACTACTCACTACGCACTACGAACTACCCACTACTCACTACTCACTAATCACTACTCGCCACCCACTACTCACTGCCCACTACTCACTACCCACTACTCATTACTCCCTACTCCCTACTCAGTACTCACTATTCGCTACTCGCTACTCACTACTCACTACTCACTACTCGCCAGTCACTACTCACTTATCAGTACACACTACTAACTATTCACTACTCACTACTCCCCACTCCCTACTCCCTACTCCCTACTCGCCACTCACTACCCACTACGCACTACCCAATACTCACTACTCACTACGCACTAACCCACTACTCACTACTCACCACTCCCTACTCCCAACTCCGTACTCCCTACACACTTTCCCCGGCGCAGAAAAGAAAAGCGAGAGAGGCCCCCCCTCCCTGGCTCCCTTTCCGGCGCAAAGGGGGGGAGGTGGGGGGGGGGTTCGGGACCCCCCCCCTTTAAGGGGGGAAGGGGGGGGGGTCGGACTCCCCCCCCCCCCCTTTGGAGGGGGGGAGGGGGGGGGGGTCAGACCCTCCCTACCCCCTTTAGTGTATTCAGGGAGATCCACTGGCGCACTTTCACGCAGACACCCTCAGACGAATTTTGCACGCACTTTCAGGGAGGGCGACGGTGTAGAAAGTCGCTGGCTCCCAGTGGTGATTTATTCACCGCCAACCTCATCTGAGGACCAGGAACAATCCAGTGGAGGGTGTCAGTGTATTTTTGTTTTGTGGCGGACAAGGGAGCACAGAAAGGGCCACTGCTGTGAAGATCACCAGGGCTGGAACAAGTCAGAAGCAACTGAGAGGAACGACATGCGACGGAACGCGAGGCCCAGCCAACTTGTCCCGCTTGCCTGCATCTCCTCTTCCTCCGTCTCCTCCTCCTTCTCCGCTTCCTCCTCCGGTGTTGGACCCTGCCCGCTCGCCCCTGGCGGAGTCTTTGCCTCCAGCCTCCTTCCAGGCATGACCCCGCCTATCTTTTCCAGCCTGTCCCAGCGTTGGTGGCGACGAAATCCCTGAATGGCCAATGGAGGCAATATGACAAATCCGATGCGACTTCTGCCACTGTGCTGCCAATCCCCCTTGCCCTCTGGGAGGAGGACGACGAAAAGGGAGGGCAGAGGCGTAGGAAAAGGATGGCGGACGGCAGACGAGGGGGAGGAGGAGGACGAGGAGGAGGAGGAGGAGGAGGAGGCGGAATAGGGCAGATGATGCTGATGATGAGCCAGGGCCAGCGGCCAGCCGAGAACTGAATCGTCCCAATCGCTCAGAATCCCGTTGTTTTGTACGGCGCCGCTCCCGGTGTTTTTCCCCAGCCAGCTCCGATCCTTGATGCGCTCTGGTCCACTCACCTCCACGGTGTCTCCGCCGTCCACCTCGAAGTGGCACTTGAACATTATATCCATGTACGACCTTGGCATCTCCCCCGCATGGTCCCCCTTACAATCTCGCCTCCCCCCTCCCCTACCATAGCAAACAACTGGATCATGGGATATGTGCGGGGGCTACGCGCCGAATGCGCACGCGGAGGGCAACCGTGCCCAGTCACAAGAAACATTACCGCCACACCATGTGTACCTGGCTTCCTGGTGCACTTTCTTCTCCTCACCTTCTGCTCCCCGCCCCTACCATCCACCTATCCCTGGTCTCCATTTCGGAAGCTGGATGCAAATGGCAAGCGATAGTCATCTTCCAGACAGGGCTCACATTCTTGACACACGGCTCGGAAACTTGGGCGGAGCGTCGCTCGTGCCGCGTGCATCCGCGGTGTCCTGCTGAAGGTGAAGGCACTGAGCAAATAACTCTCGGATAAGGAACCCCGGGTCCGAAGGCCAGTGGAACACCACTTGAGGCTTGGCCGTGGATATCACCGCCGCCCTCACCACGTAAGGAACCCTCCAGAGCCTGACCCCTCTTGGGCACATCGGCTGCACGTAAGAGTGACCCCAGGCAAGAGTGACATTCGGTGCGCTGCTCTTGGGGGGCGCGAAGGGACCAAACCCAACCGCGCAGGCTGCTGCTATCGCATCGCGTTCGGCGATCGGGGGGGGGGCCCAATGGGCCCGCACCAGAGGCCACTCCAACGAAAGGTCACCCTTACGTGTAGTCGAGCACATTCCTTGACGACCGCCCCCCCCCCACCGGGGCCGCCAGCCTTCGAGCCCCGCGCCCCGCGGTGCGAGGAGCGCGGTCGCCTCCGCGCGCCTTCGCGCCGCCGCCCTGGTAACGGGCGCGTCCACGGCCCAAGCCACGCGGCGCGACGTGCGGCACGCCTTCGGCCAGCGCAGCACCCGACACCCCAGAGCGTTCGAGTAGGGGATCGACTGCAGAATCGGTTTACCTCAGAATGGATTTTCTCGCCGAATCTACGATCAGAAACACGTCTAACGTCCCGCAGATTTGCGAACATTCGACGCGTTTCTTGTATATCGGCGGGAATATCAAGTTTGGAGTGAACCAATTCTGTAGGTCATCGTTTTCTTAATACATGTTTCGGCATTGGGCGGGAAGGTGGGTCTGGCTCCGGACCTCTGCTGGATGCGACTGCTTGCAACAGTGCGTCCTATCGGGGAGACCCCACCTGCTCGAAAAAGACGCCCCGCACAAATTTCAGCTGCGCCAGCAGCCCCCCGCAACCAGAGGTACCCGCACCCACTTGACAAAGGGATGCGGCCCCCCCCGCGCCGCCCAGCCTGGCGTTGCCAGTCTGAACCGCCGCGCGGGGCGCCAGGGATACAAGTGCCCCCAGGAGCGGGAGGGTGGGGCGAAAGCGCTCGCGCCGTCTGCAACGGCGGGACGCATGCGTAGATGCCTGCAATATGCAAGCACCAATGCCTGCAAACCGCGCGACCCCGAGGCGCGCCGCGATCCGCCCCGACGCGATCCCCGCGGCGCGCCTGCACGGGGCGCGCGTCGCGATGCAAGCATAAGCATAAACGCTGCCCCGTGCGCGCGGTGGCCCTTTCTCGCGGGGCCGCGCGCAGCCGCGCGCGTGCAGTCGCACCCCCCCCTCGCGCGCGCGGGCCCTTCGCGCGGGGCCGCGCGCCGCGAGGCGCAGGAAAGCGGGGGGCAGCCCGCGCGCACTGCTCGCGCGCCCGCGCGCGGGCAAGGCGCGGGCGCTAAATTTGCGCCCGCGCGCGACGCAGCACAAGTGGGCGCGCGCGCTTTCGATGGCGTTGTGCGCCCACCGCAGATTTCAACTGCGCCGGCGGCCTCCCGCGCCCGGAAGTGCCCGCGCCCACTTGACAAGGGATGCGGCACTCCCCGTGCCGCCCAGCCTGGCGGTGCCGGTCTGGGCCGCCGCGCGGGGAGCCAGGGGTGCAAGTGCCTCTAGCCGATGCGCGCTGGTGCACCGTCGCGGCGACGCGCGCCCCTTGCGAAAGCGAGTCGTGCGTGCGGCGGCGCCGCGAGGACGCAACGCACAAAGGCGAGATAGACGCGCGCGAGGGCAGCGCGCGACGCCTGGGCCGCTGGTGCCTAGCCCAAATCGTCCTCAGACTCGGCCAGGTGCGCTTCGACCACGGCGCCGAGCACCACTTGCGTCATGTCGAGGTGCGACAGGAACGCGGGCGAGGACCATTCTTCCGCTTGCATGATCTCGCGCAAGGTGCCTCCCCTCTGCTGAAGGTCCAGTGCGTGGCCGCGCCTCGGGTCATAAGTGCGATGGAGCGCCTCGTCTTTGGCGCCGAGCTGGCCGAGGCGAAGGCGCAGGGTGCTCAGCGCGCTAGCCGCGCCCGTGCCCGTGAGCGGCCCGGTGCCCGCGGGCGGGTCCGCGAACCGTGTGCCGAGCGCGTGGGCTGGGCGCGTCGTGGTGCAGCGCGCGCGCCAGCGCGCCCGCATCAGCGCGGTGCCGAATTGCTTTTTCTTGCGACGCGCCAGTGTGAGTTGCGGGAGGCCGTCGCGCAGAATGAGGGGGGCCCCTGCGCCCTGTCGAAAGGCGACGCCGTCGAGCGAAATGCCCGAGGCCTCCGAGGGGAGGCGCAAGAGAAATACGTGCGTGACCAGAAAGAGCTGCGCGAAGACGGCGGACTCGTGCCGCTCTTTTACTAGATGCAGCAGCGCGCGAACTGCGTCTTCTCGTGTGAACAGAGGTGCCCTGGGCAGGAAAACGCCGCGCTTGCGGATCGCGCGTTTGGTGCGGCGAAGCGGTGTGTCACGTGTCACGAATTACGTCTACAGGGAGACCGCAAACCTGACAAGCCAGCTTGACGTGCGAGACATATGGAGAAAAATATCTGAACGGAGCGAAATAGAGGCGGCCGCGCGAGCACCCCCCCGGCGGACGGCGGCAGCTCGCGCCCGTGCAGCGCTAGAGGCTCGCGCGCGAACGCGAACAATGCTGCCGCGCCTCTCTTGGAAGAGGCGACGGGGCGCGGGCGCGCGCCCGGGAGAGCCGCTGCGCGCGCCGAAGACAGCCGCTCGATTGTCGAGCCGCCGGAGAAGATTGCGGAGCTCCGCGCGCGGGCCCCCGCTGCGCTGCGGCGCGCGGGCCCCCTGCGCCTCCGCGGCCCTTATTTCAAGGGGCGCGTCGACGGCCGCGCCCCCGGCGACCTGCGCTCGCGCCGGTGCAGGCCTCTGGGCGCGGGCTTCCCCCTGCGCGCGCGCGTGGGCGCGGCGCGATGCAGCCGGGGCGCGGCGCGAAGTGTGCGAACCTGCTCGCGTGTCGCGAGTGCAATTGCCTCCCGAATGCATCGCATTTGGCCGCCGTCGCGGTCTGCTCCCAGGAACTGGGGATCTTTGAATTTGGCCCCGGCGAGCGCAGACGGGCGCGGCGCTTTCGGCGGCGAGCGCCTCCGCGATTGCGTTGAACCGAACAGCCTCGTGCCTGCCTTGGCCAGCTGCTCTCTCCAGGAAGACTCGCGTGGAAGCGGCGTGCCCGGCCATTGCCGATCCGACGGGCGGCGCGCGCCAAGCAGGCCTTCTGCCGCCGAGCCTGCGCTTGCCGAGCGCGCGTGGAGCGACTGCGCTACGCGCGACCTTCGCGGGCGCAACGCGGAAACGAATAATGCTGCCATTAAGCGCGCTCGCCGACGCAAGACGATTTGGCGCGCGTGCCGAACTGTCGGCCGACAGCTGCTCGCGCGCGGCGCAGCGGCGCCCGCGCTGCCGATGGGGGTGCCCGGGCCTCGGGCATGCAGAATGCTTCGCTAAGACGCGGCTGAACGAAAGAACCGCCCTCGCGAAGGAGCCAGTACTGCTCCCGCTACGGCATATCAGCAGCGTTGAGTTTCGAGAAGGCGCGGTCGACGCGGGGCGGGGCGCGCAATTTCGCCGCCTGCAGCCATGGCGAATTGTTGAGACACGTAGAACCCCGTCCTCTGGAGGCGCCTTTCCGCGCGGCGCCCTCGGCGCCGACGCTGTCGGGCCAGAGGCGCGCGCGCCTGCGCAAGAAGCTCGAGGGACATAATTTGCGCATCGCCCCTTTCTTGAAATGGCGCAGGGCGCGCTCGGGCGGGGCCCAGTCGGAATGGGTGGGCGGCCCGTCGAGGCAGAGCACAGCCGCGGCGCGGGGCGGCGTGCTGCGCGCGTCGACACAGAGCTGCGCTGCCTCGCGCCGGTCTGGTGCCCAGACACAAGTCTCGCAGAGTTCCAGCGCTGAGACTTCTGCCCGCCACCCGAGTGCGACGCGCAGCCGCTGCGGCGCCACCGCGCCGCACTGCTTCGAGTGGGCGAACAGAGGCCGGATGGGCGCGCGCCCTATGCGATGGAACATGCCCGAGCGTGCCCGCGCCAGGGCGCCCGCGAGCTTCGCCGCGTCCCGTGGCCGCAAGACGCCCGAGGAGAGCGCGTCGCCAATGCGACCGCGCCACTTCTCGACCTTGTCGGGCGAGGGAAGGCGCGAGAAACCGCCGTGGCCTGCGCGGGCCTGAAGGCCGAGGGCGACAAGCGGCATGCCCGCGGCAACCTTGTCCGCCGCGATCGCAGAAGGCCCGAGGATGCAGCGCGCGAGCCGCGCGATGCACCCGAGCGCATGCTCGGCGTAGGCCGCGCGCTCGGTTCCAAAGAGGTCACCGACGAAACGCAGCATCGGAATGAACGGTAATCGGCGCACAAAGTGTGGGATGAGCACGCCGACCCCCTCCCGCGCGTGCACGGGCGCCACGGCGTCGAAGGGCGCAGCCATGTGCTCTGCCACATGGGCTACGCCCTGCGCGAAGAAAACGAAGAACCCAAATCGGCGATGCACCGGGATTGCGGGCAGCCTGCGGAAGGCCGAGTCGATGTCGGCTTTGAAGAACATGATGCGTTCGCCTCGCCGCGCGACGCAGCGCGTCGATGGGCTCGGGGCAAAACGTTTCGCCTGCCGAGGTGCGCCCGCTCACCTTTGTGCTGAATCAAATCGTCTACTGCCCGATCGCGCGCGTCGCCATTGGGCCGCGCTTGCACAGCCCCGAAGCGCGGGGGCAAGA